TTATTTTAATTTTTTTAACATATGATTTGTATTAATTAATATATTATATTATTAATAAAATTGTCTTAAATATATTATAAAATGTTAAATTTTATTAATTTTTAAACAAATTCTTTTCTGGTCATTTTGCATTTTTAACTAGTTTATCAGCTAGTTTTTATCAAACATATTTAATTCATCAACTAACTTATCAATCATGAGCTATCAGTTAGTTTTCCAAACAAAATTTTAAAATACAATAATATAATAAGATAATTAATACAAATAGATTGTTATTTCTGTTTGGCCTAAAACTTGTTAAAATCAATATCACAACAATAATTATATTTATGTATAAAAAGCGAGGCAAAGTATCATATGATAAGAATAGTTAAAATGAGAAGCGTAATAAGAAATATAGATCTTTGATCACCTATAATCTTAAACCCATCTATAAATCATACTTGATACACATATTGATTCATGGATCACATCCTAATATGCATCAAATGATTGAGATTTCCTTTTATATTTTACCTAGATGTCATTTCACCAAAACCCAATCCTAAAAATAGATTGCTATTTTTGAAATCCCATAAATTATATGGGTTATATCATGTATGTATCACCCGACCCGACCCGGCCCGGCCCTTTGTAGACCTCTAACCTAAGTCCTTTGGTGCATCTCTATTCTGCCGAGCTGCTTTCGTACCTGTGCGGTGATGATGGAGGTCGGGGAAGAACTCACGAGAGAGAAAACGAGGATATACGTGGGGGGGTTGGGTGGCGGCGTGACGGAGGATGATCTCCGCAGAACATTCTCGGCGTTGGGTGAAGTAGTCTCCGTCGATGTAGTTCGCACCAAAGGCCGGAGCTTTGCTTACCTCGATTTCCTCCCTTCTTCCGACAAATCCCTTCTAAAGCTCTTTAGCACGGTCTCTCTCTCTCTCTCCATGTCTGTGCTTATTTATTTTTTTAACATGTAATTTGTGGTTGAAATGATTTGGTCGCTCAATTGCTACCATACGAGTGTGGATTTCAACTTCAAATTGATTTAGATATTGTATTTTCCTAGAAGAAATGCTAAACCATTCTGAATTCGAAGAAGCCGTTCGAGTGGGTTAATGTTAGCATTTAATTTAAGACCACATTGTTATCAAATTGTCCTTTGAGATGTACTACGGATTGTTAGTGGTTTTATTTATAGTTCAGATTGAAAAAATTGTACATAAAATGGATCCGCAAGTGATTTATGCATGTTTTGATATTGTTACTGGCTTATTTGTAAGCATGTGTGTGTATACACCTATTCGGCGTATATGCATTCTCTTCTGAGACGTCACTGCTGATGAATACATGTGTTGTTTTTGGTAGATAAAAGTAGGCACTACAGGAAAATTTAGAATTCTTATATGATTTTATGTTTTATTTTGGATTCGGCGCTTCTTGGAGGATCCAAAAGACAATGGCATTGTATATGTTTGATAAGAATTTGGATGCTATATGACATGCTTGGTACTCCTTAAAGAAACAGCGACACTTAACCTCTGGATGCCAATCAGGTTGTTTTTTCAGTTCTAAATTCATATGGGCTCCAAAGTTTTGAGAAGTAGTTGCTAGGCTATAATATAGAACATGAATATCAATGTTCTCATTTTACAAAGTTTATATCAATTGTGCATTTAAGAAGTTATTGTAATGGAAAGGTAGAGATTTGAGTTTTTGGATACCCAGTGTAGGATTATATCCTTCACAATTGCAACAAAAAGTAGAGATAATTATGGTTAAAGAACAACTTATAACAGTTCATTGGAAGTCAACAATTATGTGAGAATAATAGAGTAGCAACATTTGTTTTTAGTTTACTCAATGACTACTGCATAGTTTAAACTACAAATTTTGACGATAGAGTCATAGTGATGCTCTTCCTCTCACTTTTTCCTGTGTCACGATGCCCCTTCCTTTTGTGCTATGTTTTGTCCTTTTTCTGGTCCTAGTCGTAACATCATAATATTCCTTCACTTTTCAATTTGATCATTTGCAAGTTTGTTAGTTACCTCTATGGTAGCAAGGTCTTATATTACATCTTCCTTCTTAAAGCTTCTTACTATTCTGAGAATTTAGTTCTCTTTTTGTATCATTATATATGGACTTCTTTTGGCTGCCACTTTTAATACTCAAATTTACAGTATAATGGATGTATGTGGAAAGGAGGGAAGCTGCGGCTTGAGAAGGCTAAGGAACATTATCTTCTTAGATTGAAGCGTGAGTGGCAAGAGGACTCCGAACATGCAAGCAAAGCATCTGATAGCTGTAATGCTGATCCATCTGAAAGTGTTGGTACTTTAGAAAAATCAAAGAAACCTCCCTCAGCAGATAAGACAAATCTTAATATATTCTTCCCCAAGCTAGGGAAGGTAATCTCTCTGTCTATACACCAACTTTTTAGCTCCATATGCACAGTTTCTTTTTCTCTTCGAGGAATATCGTTTGTTTCGTCAAATATATGTACCATAAAAAGTTCTGATGATGTGGTTCTATCGTCACATACTGTCGATTCCAGCTCATTGATTTTGTCAGTTATTTAGGTAAAATCATTGGCCTCAGCTGGAATTGGCAAACACAAATACAGCTTCCAGCGTCTGCAAGTTCCATCCATCCCAACCCATTTCTGTGATTGTGAGGAGCACTCACTTGCTTTTGTTCCAACCAATAAAAAGCAATCTTCTGAATTTGTGAATGCAAGTGATGGAATTAATGAGCAAGAGCTCAATATTATGAACTCAGTGATGAACAGGATCTTTGAAAAGGCAAACCCATCTAAGCAAGCAAATGGGAAGTCTGAATCGGTGAATGGAAATGGTGTTTCCATGAACTCCAATGATGAATTGGCTGCTCTTGAAAATGATGAGGAAGATCATCTGACAGATGAAGATAATCTGATAATCAATATGGCTACTGGGAGAAGTGACAGCATGGATTTGTTAGGAGAAATGCGAACCATGATGGTCAATCGGGTATCAATTATTCCTCGCTTGATGGCATCACTTTCTTTTTTTTGTTCTCTTTCCTTTTATCCTTCTAGTATATAGTTTGAGCATGATATTCTGCCTTATATTTGTTGGACTCTCAGGAACCAGTAGCTAATAGACTCGTTACATCTGGTGGGAAGCCAAAGAATGTGCAAGATAGTCGGGAAAAGAAGACCAAGAGTGTGCAAGATAGTCGGGAAAAGAAGACCAAGAGTGTGCATGATAGCCAGGAAAAGAAGACCAGGAGTGTGCATGATAGCCAGGAAAAGAAGACCATGCTACTCAGTAAGAAGAGGAAATCACCTCACTCGGTAGAGAACCACAGTAGTGGTAGTGTGATTTCTGAAGCCTTGGGCAATTCTCAAATCCATTTGGATACTCGAGAAGACAGCAAAACAGAAATAAAATCAGGTACAAAGCAATCGGGAAGCAATTCTTTACGATCACTGAAGTCCACATGGAAAGATCTGATTGGCCAGCAGGGCAATATGCCATTCAGTATTTCCAGCATCATTGCAACCGTACCTCAAGAAAAAAGTGAGAAACTCAAGGGAGATGATACTCCAAAAAAGAGTTTGGTTTCTAGTAAGAAGAGAAAGAGAGAATGTGATAGAATTGAGCTAGTGTCTTCTGTCCCTGAAACTAGGTCTTCCACATCACATATAAACAAAGAAGTAGTTTTAGACATCCTTGCAAATGATCCTCAGCAAAAGGAGGAACCGAGAGCCGATGATCTTGACATGCCCTTGACAAAAATTGCGGACCAATTTATGATATCAGATGTCCTATCTAAGGAAAAAGAGGATGAACCTACAACTGATGATATTGATGTTGAAAATATCCACGATTTAGAAAATGCAGATAACCAGTCAGGTAAATCCAAGGAGCTAACTGAGGCTTTACCTGCAAAACATGATGAAGATTTGATTCGAACAGCTAGAGGTGATGCTTGGCGACATAAATCCTCATGGACACAACTGATCAGCAATACAGGTCATACTTCTTTTAACATTTCCCAGATTGTACCCAATTTAAGCTTTGAAAAACAGGCAGATGCATTCGATCTGCAACCAGCAAACAAGAATCTCGACAAGTGTGCTGCTGAAACGGCCAACAATCAGAGGCCAGCTGGTGTAGTTACTATGAAGAAGAGTTCAGAACGAAGGAAAAGTTTATCGCTTGGGAACACGGAATCGGAGGACTCATGCCTGTTCATGAGGACCGAAGCATCCTTGAAAGAGTGGAAGAAGGCAAAAGCATCTCTGAGCAGTTCACTCAACAAAAAGAAAAAGCCAGTTAAAGAATCTGCCTAAACTCTTTAAACATGAAAAATTGCTGATTATGTGTTATTTGATGCAATTTATCTATATGTTTCATCAATTGACTAAGAGCCTGCCTGCCTGCCTGCCAATTAGGTTGCATGAAATTTGATTATGACTGAATCACGTCGGACTTGGTAAAAACCTTTTGTTTGCACATGGTTTCATTCATAATAGATGATCGATCACTTGCATGTAGATGTTTAAGTTCATTTATTAGACCTGAAAGCTTAATGTACTCTAATTTCATTCCTATGTTTGGGTACATTACCTTCAAAAACCTTTTTTCATGTAAAATATCAAAGTTATAAGTATCTGGTTTATCAAATGACCTCAAATGCCGATTAAGATTAGGTTTTTTCTGATATGGTATTATTTATTTATTATTAAATGCCAACTACACAAAAAGAAATGCTGTTCCATTATTTAAAAAATGTGAAATAACTCTGTAGGATGAGTGAATCATCGATGTGACGATAGAGATAAATATAATCTAATAGAGTTATTTATGGAGAGAATCTTATTTACATGCTTATTGTGATCTTTATGTAATTATGTAATCCTTCCTCCCTGTTTAAATAGTTGGGAAAAGTGTAAAAAAAACTCAATGAATTTAGTGTTTGAGATGATTAAGTCATTGAACAAATTTTTGGAACAAATAAGTCATTGGACATTCCAAAACCTATTAAGTAACTCATTGGACATTCAAAAACTTGTTAAATACATTCTTATGACTTACGAAACTGTTTAATGTGGTAAAATAATGAAAAAAAGTTTGAAAAAAAAAACCAATGGACTTTCATATTTATTATTTTGAACAGTCTCTAAACCTTTTTGAACCAAAAAATTACTTACATTTATAAAATGAAACAAATATACCAAAAAATACTTGCATTTTAAAAAAAAATACTTATATTTAAAAAATTTATTAATGAAATTTATTTAATTTAAAAAAAAAGATTGTCGGTGATTTTCCAAATAAAAAAAATAAAAAATATATTTAAAAAGGATTATTGATTAAATTTATATTTATTAAAAATAAAATATATTTCATTGATGATTTTTCAAATTAAAAAAATAGAAAATAATTTGATTAAATTATTGATGGATACGATAAAATTTAACTAACTATATAATTAAAAGTTTGTCGCCAGTGTTTATTGATATATGCATGAATTACTTATATCTAATTGATGGTTAACTTGATCACGGTTATGTGTTTTAACACAGTAACATGTTAATAAGTGTAGAAGATCGTGCTTGAATCTTATCGGTCATATCATTTCACCGACGGATTTTTTGACTGATTTTGGAACACATATGTATTTAGTTAAATTTTATCGTTAATCCATCAGTAATTTCATTACTAAAAAAATAGGTATCACCGACGGAATTTTCTGGCGGAAATTCCGTCGGAAATATCAGTGACGGATTTCCGACGGATCTCAAAAAAGTCAAGAAAAGTCAACTTTTGTTGACGTCCGCAACAAATTCCTCACAAAATTTAAAAAAATTATTTCTACAACTTTCCCGACGGTTTTTTGACTGATTTTGTACGGATCTTTTACTTATTTAATACCGTCACAAATCCGTCACAAAATTAGTCTAATTTATTTAAATAAACAATTAGCGTTAATTAATTAAAATTTCCGACGGATTTAATTGATTTTTATATTTAATTATACTCCGTCGGAAATGTTTAAAAAATTTCTTTTTTATTCTTTTCCCTTCCTAAAAAAAATATGCTTAAAAAATATTTCCGACGGATTGTAATTTTTTTAATAAAAATTTATATTCCTTCGAAAATCCGTCGGAATTTATTTAAAAAAATATGTTTTATAAAAAAAACACTTTTTTTTAAAAGTTCCGACAGAATATAACTTTTTATTATAAAATTATTATCGGTCGGAAATTTTCAATTTTTTAAATATATATTTTTGGAAGCAAAAAATAAAAATAAAAACTTTTTTTTTCTTTGAACATTATAAAATTATTATCGCTCGAAAATTCGTCGGAATTTATTTGAAAAGGTTTTTTTTTTTGAAAAAAATACATTTTAGTAGACTTTTTAAATAAGTTCCGACGGAATATAACTTATTATTATAATAATTATTATCCATCAGAAATTTTAAACTCCTTTTTTTTTTTTTTTAAATATATGTTTTTGGAAGGAAAAAAAAATTAAAAAATAACTTTTTTCTTAAACATTACCGACATAATATAATTTTTTAATAAAAAGTTATATTCCGTCGGAATTTATTTGAAAATGTTTTTTATTTTTCTCTGAAAAAATATAATTTAGTGGAATTTTACAGGTATTATTGTGTTTTAATGGATCTTAGTGGATTTTATTCGGTTCAAACATGCTTTAATGGAGCTATTGAGTCTTATTCGGTTCAATTCGGCATTTACGGGTACTATTAGGTCTTATTTGGTTCAATTGGGCTTTAATGAATCTATTGAGCTTTAATAGATATATTGAGTCTTATTTGGTTCAATTGGGCTTTAAGGGTACTATTGGGCTTTATTCGGTTCAATTGAGCTTTAACGAGTATTATTAGGTTTTATTCGGTTCAACTGGGTTTTAAATGGTACTATTAGGCTTTAATGGGTCTTAGTAGACTTTAATAGATCTATTAGACTTTAACGGTATTGTTTGGTCTTTAATGAATATTAGTGGACTTTAATGAATCTATTAGGCTTTAATGAATTTATTGGGCTTTATTCGGTTCATTGGGCTTTTACAGGTATTATTGGGTTTTATTGGATCTTGGTGGAATTTAATGAATTTTAGTGGACTTTTACAGGTATTATTGGGTTTTAATGGATTAGTGGATATTATTCGGTTCAAATAGGCTTTAATGGAGCTATTAGGTCTTATTCGGTTCAATTCGGCATTAACGGGGTACTATTGGGCCTTTTATGTGATGACCTGAAATTCAGACAACATCGATTAAGGTAACCTTTACGTGATTATATGTGAAATATGTGATAACGTGCATGTTACTTAAATAAATGCATGGATTATGTGCATTTGTGCGAAAGGTGATGCTATGCATACATATACGAAAAGGATAAAATAGGTGTGGGCGCATATGTGATATGTTAAGATTGAATTTTAGAGTTAAATTGTATTTGTTTTGAAAGGTTTATAATTGTATTTTTAGCAAGTTTGACTTTGTAAGTCATTGTTGACTTTGAGTAGTGCTTTTATTGTTTGACCTATAAATAGGTTTTGTCTTGTAGTGAGTTTAGGGAAAGGAGCTTCATTGTAAACATTACGTATACTGAGAGAAATATAAACATTGACTGTTTGACTTTTCCTCTCTAGATGTTCTTGATGTTCTAACATGTTCTTGCCATAGATTCATCAAGTTTATGAAGATTGATCATATTGTGGGACAAACAATTGGTATCAGAGCCAAATGCAGTGAAATTGTTCGAAGAAAACATCCAAAAGCTGAAAATTTCTGGAATTTCATCTTCTGTTCATCTTTTTTCAAAAGCATCCTGAACAGCCTTTAGGGCGCCGTCCAAGTATTTCTTTGACACGAAGTCGGGTAAGCTAACACATGGATCACATAGATTGCCAGTTGAGACAACAGTTGATTAAACTGTTATGCCTACGTTCAGTGTTGACAGAATTGTAGCACTGGTAGGACTTCCAACCGGTCCTTGTGGAAAGTCAAAGGACTCCATTCGGGTCATTCCGGCTTGTTCACTAAGAACGTCAATTTAAGCAACAGATGCTCTTGACTCATGTGTACCTAAAATGTGTATGGGCTCTAGACTCGAGGTGAATAGAATCGAAGTCATAGACTGGGGCAGATATCTACTGGTTTCAATATCTACATTCTCCGAGTGAGAAGTAGATAGACTTTGTGCTTGATCCGTGTGAGAAGGTGAAACAGTTGCTTGTTGAGAAACAACAGAGTGACTAGGTGGGACGTGCAATTGTATAGTTGAGCTAGCTATGTCTGCTTCAATACCAACATTCAACGAATGAAAGTCGATAGTAGATGTGGTTGCTCGGCTATGTGTTTCGGTTCGGATTGGAACATTACGTTCTTTTCCAGTTCCACTCACACCCTCACCATCTTTTTCTCTTTCCCTTTCACACACTCTCTTGTAATTTTCAACTAAAGCACCCTCATCCGTCCTTATTGCATCCAAAAGTTGATCAATCTCTCCAAAATTGCCATAGTCTTCAGTAAAGTCAACATCGAAGGAAAGATCATGAAGACTAGGATAATCTTGTTGATTTTGATTGGCATCAAAGAGTTGATCGAGATTGTCAATAATAGCTCCAACATTTACAGCTTCGGGAGCAGCAGGACGAGCATCATCATCATCATCATCACTATCATCATCACCAGCAGCATTGTCATCAACTTGAGTTGCCGAATCTGATACAATATCTTTCGATCTTGAAGAAGTTGTGAAAGTACTATCAGTAGAAGTATGTCGCTGATAAGAGTCTCCCCTCTCTATACCCCTCTCAATTACATTTTCACTTTGCTCAGCACCCTGTTCAGGTATCCCTTGTACCTGAACACTCTCTCCTATATCAAGACCCTCTCTCACATCTGAGGTATGGATTGATCCCGGGGTAAGTTCAACCGGTTCTAGTTGAACAATAGGATCTATAACTCTCCTATATTCTAGAACACATTGAGCACTCTGATCAGCATAGGCAATTAACTCAACTAGTATATTCATGATGGAGTCGAGGTTTTCAACTTCGATGTGCGGCCTTATACATTGCATCTCGAAAGACGGACCAACTTCATTGGTTTCTCTAGCCGAAATTTCTTCATTGGCACGCATCATTGCTTTGGTAATAAGTTGAAGGAACCTCTGAAATGGTACGAATTTCCAAAGCGAATTTCCTAGCTTTGGAAACAAATCTTCTAGCATGAACCAACTCTGTAAGCTCATTCCAGATCACCACAGCGAAGTCGTATTTGCGATTAAAGACAATTCCATGGAAGAACTTCATAAATGGACTACTGCAAGTGTCAATGCCTGCGGTTTTGGATGTCAGGCACCAGTTGAGAATGGAGAACAACAGATGCCATACTGAAGGTAGGAAACATCTTCGGAATTGCGAAGGATTATTGAGCTCTTGCAAGTATCCTAGTCATTTGATATCACGGCACAATTCCTGGTCGGAGACAAAATCTTCAAATTGTAGTG